AGTTCCAATCAGCTGAGTGTGATTCTGCTGTGTGGGTCTGGACCATTTTCAATTCTCATTTGTGAGCAAGAACCAGACAATGCAAGAAAAAATAATAATACTGCTGAATGTCTTCTCTGAAATCTCTCAGCAGCAGCACCAGCCTGTCCAACATTGTCTTTTGTTATCATCGAACTGCAAATCAGTGTGTGGATGAGCCGTGACAAAGGAGAAGCACAAGTTTTATGACAAAGAAAATTCAGTAATCCATGATGATTTGGTTACAGCGCTGCCTCAGTCAATACAGCATGGAATTACAAGTGACATGATTGGCTGGTGAAGCTGCTATATGGTAATTACTGTGCGTTTCTTACACAATATATTGTGGAGAGGCTGACTCAGAAAACCCAGCAATTTAATGAAACAGAGCGAGAAAACAAAAACAGAAAGGAGTGTACCGTTGTCCGTGCTCATTGAAATGCCAATTAAGCCAATACCTTGTGACATGTCTGCTCTTTCTCTTCTCTTAATAAAAGCTAAAGCTCCTCTGCATGAGTAGTCGTACTTCAGGCAGCCTTATAATGACGAAGCGCTAACACAAGAGGTCAGACACACTGTTTTAGCAACTGTGCTTCTTTTTTTATTATTTCTTAAGCAGATGGTGGAAACTTTGCTTACAGTCAAGTATTTGCTATTTCTGGCAGCGTCGCACGTGTTCAGATGTCTCATAATTTGCATTTTTTTTATACAGCATGTATCAAACGACAAAGTGTGTCACTGTTTTAAAGGGAAATGTCTCCAGAAGTCATTGTCTGTTAAGCTCAAGTTATGAAACGGTGGCAGGAAGCTGTCTGTGCACCTAAACGAATACACACAGAAATCTGTTCTGATCGGCACTAAAGTGCATTTCTGTGAAACACAATGAAGCTCTGTGCAGCTAAAATTAAACAGTTTTCTCCTTGAGTCTTTACAGCAGGGGTTCTCAAGTCATTTGGGTCTGGGGACCCCTTACAAGGGCGAAAAAAAATCCAGGGACCCCCTCATAAACCCTGTGCTGTTTTAAAAGATAATTTATTGTCATTTCAACCCCTAAATGCCATGGGAATATATATTTTTATTACTTTTATTATGTTTGTTTTATTAGTTCAATGTTATCCATGCATTTTTAAAAATAAAAACCAAATTAATATTTTAGTAAAATGTTTTGAGGACCCCCAAGATACCTCTCACGGACCCCTGGGGGTCCAGGGACCCCAGTTTGAGAACCTCTGCTTTATAGGACCAACAACAAGCAGGCAAAGAATATTCTGATCAAAATTAGTCTTCCACTCAAGGTGAACAACCACATTACAAAACAATCCAACATCCAACCACAATGTTAATTTATATTATAGGAAAAGTTCAGATCATTTCTTTCTTTTAAAGAAAATGTGTAAATTTGGTTACATTTTTTTAGGGCGGCACGGTGGATCAGTTGGTAGAGCTGATGCCTCTCAGTGAGAAGGTCGCCGGATTAAATCTCGGCCCGAGGACCTTTCTGGGCAGTGTTTGCATATTCTCTCTGTGCATGTGTGGGTTCTCTCCGGGCACTGCGGCTTCCTCCCGCAAATTAATTGGAAAAATGTCCCTATAAGTGTAAGTGAGAGAGTGAATAGTTGACTGTCTCGTTTGTCTCTATGTGTGGCCCTGTAATGGACTTGCAACCAGTCCAGGATGTAGCCCGTCCCTCGCACAGTGACTGCTGTGGGCACCAGTGACCCCCGTGACCCTGAAAGGAAGAAACGGGTATAGATAATAGATGGATGGGTTACATTCACTAAACTCGGTTTAGTGAAACTAGTTTGGTTAAGTAAATTCAACACTTCAGTCATATTTAAATTTGTAACGTGTGATTAGGTGTTAAATGTAAATAAAGAAGTAAAAGTATCATTTTTCTGTTTTCAGCAACAAAATAAAAATAAAAGTAAAGATTTAAAAAATATTAAACGTTCCAGTTAAAATTACAAATCTTCAAAAAAATAAAGACTTAGGTACTGTAACAAAGTAAATAGTACTTTTTACTATACAAATCTGACAGTACTATCCAACCTCTAATATTGAACATGTTGCCACATAGTTTCACTCCAGAGAAATGTATTATCAGTTTCTAATATTCATTCGTATGGTGTCAGATTACAACTTACAGCAAATCCTGCTGGTTTTTCTTGTGACTGGAGCACAATTAACTTGACACGTTGAAGGAATTTATTGGGGTGGGTACTACTGACTTTTAAAAATACTAGCTCAGTGGCTCTTAACCTTTTTTGAGGTACCGAACCCACCAGTCTCATATGCGCATCCACTGAACCCTTTTTAGTGATAAATAAAATATGATTTTTTTTTCTAAATTCAAGACATAAATACAGTATATGTTTTTTTTTTACTGTTGTATAAAATGAGCCGTACATGAACATCACCTTTCTCAAAGAACAAAACCAACACAGTGCGTGAACTCACAAC